ATTGGGGCCATTTTTACCTACCTGTCTTATGGGGCCATTTTTACCGGGGCCATTTTTTCCAGGGCCATTTTTTCCGGGGCCATTTTTTCTGGGGCCATTTTTTCCGGGGCCATTCTTACCTACATTCACCTTGAGGTATCTTAAACTGGCCTTATGGGCTCTCATTAGCATATAAGTACTAAGGTTACCATGGCAATTAATCTCTTTTCCTTATTCTCAGAGTAAGGTTGGTAACAATATCTATTAATAGGCCAGGGTAGAGAAATGATAAGCCTGTAGCTTTGACTGCAGTTACACTATGATCAATAATAAGATGAACATAATAATATTAGAACCACCATCATTGTCATTTGTTTGTGGCCTGTTTTATTCTTTAAATCAGAAAGGGGCAAGGATCCATATTTGGAAGGGGTGTGTTAATGCATACGATCCCACATCTTAAAAAAAAGGTTTACATCTCCAAGCTTCATTCTTCTTCCATTTTTTTATGTTTAAATAATACTGTAGTACCATTCCTATAGTCTTTGCATACACTCTTAAAGGGGACCCTGGGTTTAAAATTTCTATTAAACATAGAAGTCGGTTTGCACCTTGGTTTTTGGCATGCGGTAGGACAGAACGAGCGCTGCAAACTGGGTCCCTAAATACACGTGGTGGCATTACTCAAATTACACAGTGCATAACAGGGAAATTCCTAAAATGGACTAACAAACTTTCGAAGGCTCGCGTTCGATAACCGCTAAAGAAAACACATTCATCTTATCAATTCTAGTGTTAATTTATCTGATCTTTTCATTTATAAGGGTTTACTTTTGCAAAAATCCTCATTCTTATATGAAAGTAAAACCAACTTTTTGTTTTGGTATTTATAATTTGCACAGCTGTATACTTGTGAGATAACCATCAACTACAGGGGTATTTTAACATCAAAATCTCACTCTTGCTGCCTGCCTGCTCAGCACACAGACATTCAATAATATCATGAAGCCAGGCAGTGGCATATTTAAAAGTCTTGAAATGGGGGTACTGATGGGGGGAGGGGCCTCGATTATGTTGAGGGGCGCTAATTTACAAAAAAAAGGTGGTTTTAGGTGATTTTTAACAACTTGAAAGTGATTTTTTGGGGGTGACTGGGGTCACAAGAAATTTTTGGAGGGGCATACGCCCCCGTGCATCCCCCTAGATACGCCACTAGATAAGCCAGGACAGGATGGATGAAATCATGAATATTAATGATTCTCTTGTTGTAAGGCTACCCAGCCAGTGAAAAACATGCTTAGCCTTCACATAAAATTTAGTTTTTTACTCCCTTAAATTTGCGATTTTTTGGTTGGGATTATTATATAATTTATCATGATATAACAAATAGGCCTAAACAATATATTATAAGAAATTTCAAACCCGGAACTCCCCTTCAAATGTTTGGTAGCAACTTAAAAGTAGTTCAGTGATAAATGACAAAATAAATGTTTCATTCTTGAGGCTTATTCAACTTTTTGGTGGCAGTATATATATCACTAATGTTTAATCCCACCCAATACATCATATCTAATGATATACCTATAGGCCGACAATATTATTTATACCCGTGGTTGATTTTGTTCGTGGGAAAAAAAAAACCTGTTACCATGACAATGACACAATGACATTGACAGGAATTGAATCCAGCATTGTTGAAAAGGCCACCGAGCTATTCGCTCCACCATCCGATCTATTGAGCTGATTTTGAAAAATGGGCTTTCCATTGACCGCACCGACGACAGAGCTGGCACTTTAGGGGCAGGCACCTCTTTGGACTAGCTCAGAGCATGCCATGGAGGTATAATAACTCAGAGCTGGCTCTCCTCTCACGTGTTACGGGTGAGGTATGATAAACGGGCCTACTACCTACCTTGCTGCATATTTCGCGACGGCACTCGAGTTCATCTTCGTAATGAGGGGAATCCCCACATTGATCGCGTATGGTTTTGTTGTACTGAAGGCCCCTATGATGTTAGCAAGGAATCAGTGGAATGAAATTCGTTAAAAATTCACTCTTTTGAAGCCAATAGGCACTCCTAATTTTACTCACGTCTACGTGTACAAGCTGCACTTTCCCAGGCTGCCAGTCTGCAGCACGATCTCTATCTACCGACACGCCAAAGCAAAGAACCTAGGTCAAAGGTCATAAGTGCAATACTGTAGTACGTACATCCCTGGAACCGGACTTTATATTTATAACCATGTGTAAGTCCTTGCTGGAAGGAATGGAACAGCCTACTACTAGTACAGTTTGATTCTTTTGTTCTATTTGAATGAAACATGTATATAATAATAATAATAATAATAATAACAGGATCCAGAGATGTCCGAAAGCAGGGAAAAGAGACAACACTAGCCTAGGGGGTCCGGGGCGCGCATTCCCCCGCGAAATGTCTGTTTCATCCAGACGCATGAAAATAACCTCTGAGGCGTTTTGACCGATCAATTTTTCTTTTTCTTTATTTGTTTCTCTGTTTTTTACTTTCCGAAAAATGGACGGTGGGGGGGGGGGGATAAATCCGCCTGAATAAATGTTATATTTATAGCGCATATTGCACATTGCCTCTATGCGCTTTACACAGAAATAGTATAGGCCAATCTGCTATTCACTTTACAACAAAAAAAGCCAATGAAATATTGATAAGCTATGCACTCTGCTAGCAGAACATTACTACATGCATTAACATTTGCAAATTACTGTTCAGACAAATACAGTAACATGCCGTATTTATTTCGAATGCCCAGGTCTTTATTGTTGAGTCGGGTTTTTGAGGGGGTGTTTATTCGAGGGAGGCATTTATTTATTTACTGATGTAAAATGGATAAGTATACTGT